GAATCACTGCCGCGTGTTGTAGGAGTTATTAGAGAAATCGAAACGAACAGGTCCGAAGCCCGGACAAGACTCGCTGTTGTTCTGCTAAAAAGTGTTTGATGTCGACTCACCCTGTGACCCAACTTTAGTTATTACGGAGGAACCAGTGCGGAGTCAACACCACGGAGTGAATATCCACGCACACGAAAAAGAAGATCGAAGCCGGTAAGCAACGTTCTTATATTAAGATTATGTTTCCATGAGATTTACCACAGACGTATATTATGTTTGAAAACAGATATTTTACTTGAGATATTAACGTTGTTTATGGATGTGTGGGGTGGATGACTCTCGCACTTTCAGAAAAAAAAGGGTATATTCTTACACCCATTTTCCTCTATACGACACCCCAAAACTTCAGTTCGACGTACATCGCACCGACGTCGAACCGACGGTACTAACTTCCACTAGCGGCTTGATACCCGGGTGGCACAACTTATTCAAATACCTAATGAACGTGTTACTGAGTACGAAAAAAATGAATCGGGGTTTTCTTGGCCCTACTGCAAAACCTTAGTGGTTTTTTTTCTCTGTAGTCTTTGATACGTACTTAGCTTTTTACTGAGGTATATATCAGCGTTCTCAAGCCCCTCGTAAAATTTGGGACTGTTTGTTTGACATCAGTGCGCTGTACATCGAACTGAAGTTTTTGGAGTGTCGTATATAGAACGAAAAGTTTAGGAATATACCCTTTTGTTCTGAAATTGTGCCGCACATGCTTAAACTATATCTGTAAAAAATCTCTACATGCTTTGTACTAAACCATAGGAAAGAATTAAATCTGTCTGTACCATTATAATGTTTGCATTCGGTTTTGCGGTGTACCAACGCACTTGCCTCTAAATGTAGGTTTCGTAAGTTTTATGTTTTTTTTTTCTAAAATCTGGTAAATTTTGGTTGTCAAATTTGTCAACAACAAAAAAAGAAGGCTACAGACGACAGCACTGACTACACACTTAAACGTCCACACAGGCGAAATTACACAACGGCGAACGAGGGTACTCAACTTAATGAATGGCATAATTTGCAAAGAACGCGCTCAGATGCATTTTTCTTTCTTATGTAAGCAACGCCAACACTAAGAGCCCGTCGCTGTCATTAGGTATGTCGGTGCTTTTCTCGCGTCCCTCCTTCGCTTGTTAAAGTTATAAGTTCCTGTTGTGGTATACCATTATCTTCGTGGTTAGTTCTGTGTCACTTTGTATATATAATGAAATTAGATAAACAAATAAAGCTAAATTAAACGTGTACATTTCACCATGTTTATTTCTTCTCACGGAATTACAGTTCAACTCTATTTGTTCATGACTGTAAACGGTTTTAGCGAGCAAAAAGATAACGGTCGCATGGTCTACATAGCACCATTAGATGACCTCCTTCGTCTCCCGTGCAACTCATTTTGTTACTTGGACTTCGTTGGGATGTTGTCCCAGAAACCTCTCCTGCATACTCGGCTATACTCGTGTATCTAACACAGCGGAAATTAATGATAATTTTTGCCTGCTGCTGTTTGTATGGTTTTTCAGTAAACTATTGAAAGGACGTCTCATGATCACACATTGACTATAAACAAAAGAAGGAAGTTGAAATATACAGCTGGTGATTGCCAGTTTAACTGATGGTGATCAAATGTTCCTAAAAAATATATTGACTCGATGGCAATATGATCATTTGGGTTTGCTTAACACTTGTTTATTCTAGGTGAATTTAAAACAAACTGTGTGTCCAATTAAATCCAATTAAATTATGTGTTTAGCCAATCCTATGCAACACCATGCTCTACTGGCCACCGTTCTATAATAATGAATATTTGTAATAAACTGTTAAACAATTGCAGAACAGATGGCAGTTTTTAAACGCGGTTTTTTGCCCTTTATTCGAATGGTCATTGGTTTTTATTTTTTATAAAAAAATAATTCGCTCTGAAATTATTTATGCAAGTGGGGTTAATACCATTGTGACAAAATTTGTCCACCAATAGCTAGCCGATCTTAATTATTTTAGTGCGTTCATTATATTGTTCAACCCAATCGGTATTGTTCTTTCTCACGAAGTATTTTAGAAGCCTGTACTTCTTTCCCTTTCAGCCCATGAAGAACGTATTTTCACGTATATTTCAATTTTGTAGGGCTTGTAGGGCAATTTGTAGGGCTGATTTAGGATTGAGTATGTATATAGTATACCTAAGGACATGAATTGCAAAATAAACATTGTGTTTTGAGTGCCCAGGTCAGATAGTTACCACGTGAATATCGAATAGACAAGAAGTTCTCACCACAAAAAGAGACATGCCAGGTTATTTGGAGTTGTCTTTGAAGGAAATCGACTGACAGAGTCACAGTGAGGGCAAATAGAAATTAATCAATGAAAAACACGAAAATATTTTTTTTTGCGTAATTGTCAGGCTAGACTCGTGTGTTTGCGCAAGTCTCTCACATTTTCTCATAACTACATTTTCTAAAAATGCATAAAAAAGCTTTTCTTCGCGTATGTGCGCAGAGAAGTATTTTCATATCCACTATTTCATGGGTCCAGTTATGGCCGTGGAATTCCCATTAATTAGACTAGAATGACCTGTGCCGAAACATGTCGTCACGAGGCCCGACAGTACACGCTATAATTTACTCAGTACATGCTTTGTGGTCCAGGTAGTCTCGGAGCAGTAAATATAAAAATACTACTTCGATCGATTGCATGAGTCGCAAAATGCCGAGGTGTCAGTCCGACTGCTTTTAAACACACAATGTGTGTTTAAAAGCGACACGTTACACTAGGCTCGACCGACACAGGTCAAGCTCATATACGTCATATAGCCCCACAGGGACTATATTCCTTATACGACCTTGGCGTTAGGGTGTAACGTGGCTTTTTGACGTCACGTGACACCCTTATGTCACTTGACATCGTGCCGTCACGTAACGCCGTCACCTCAAAAGGCGTTTCAGAGTCACGTGACCGCATGGTGTCACTGCACATCAGTCAAAATGGGCCTAACTCGCTTTCAACACATTGTGTGCGTCTAGGAGTCCACAAAATATTATCGAGACATGCTTCAATTTTTGTTTCTTACTTCAATTCGGAAATGTTACTTATTCGAATTTTCGTGCAGTGTGCTATTATATTGCAAAATGGGATTAACAGAAGCCATTATAATATGATTGAACGGCATTACTCCTTACGGGTCTCCAGTAGTTTACTCACGCGTTTAAATATCCAAGTAATGTAACGTATGGTAATGCCTATACAGCGCACCAAAGCAACCAGAAGTAAGCGAGCTTTAGCTAAGATTCGTAATCTCATTAATTAAAAAGATATCCTCACGTCTGCCATGGCAATTTCTAGCCGGCACCTCCACCAGAATGTCACGAATGGGAAGACAAGAATGATGAATGACTGAGAAAACTAAACATATAATGCGGCGAACTTGAGCAAAAATAGAAGCGCATAAAGGGCGTTGCGTGGGTAGATGTCGGCGAGGCAGCGGAATTGGGTGCTGGCGGAAGACTAACTTGCTGCAGCCAGGCAAGGCTTCTTTTCTAGCGACGACATCTTCGGGATGATTCTGTACGAGAGCTACTGGCCTCATTTTGATTATACTAGGAATTTTTTAGAGGACCTACGAAAGTTAACTGTAATGGCCATGGAATGGTCTTGAACCTCAGACATACGCGTGATTGCCGAGTGCGCTGCCTATTGTACTACGCATAGGGCATTCATCCCTCCTCTAAGACACATCGATGCGATGCGTAAAATAGGGAAATAACAACATACGCTGGTAGGTCTGACAAATTTAAAATGGGACAACCAGAAAAAAAAGTACGAACAATAAGAGAATGAGTTGATAGCCTCAACGCGCGTAGAAGAAATTTATACGGAAGATGTACACAACCTCGGGAAACGGTGGACTGCGAGAAGGTCGTGTGTAGTCGGGTAGGAGTTACAAGGTGTTACCCGACGGCAGATGATCTTTTTTAGTTTTCGCAGAAGTTCGCCGCATTAAACCTTTAGTTCGCACAGCTTATTCATAGTTCTCACTTGTTATTCGTGATATTTTAACTGCGGTAAAATGTTACACTCAGCACTTGTTTCTTAACAGAGTCGCAAAAGAAACTGCAGTGAATGTAAGATTTCTGGATAACCTTGCCACAGGACAATAACTTTAGTATTTTTCTACACATTTAATGAATGAATTACATGATGCTGGGCAACAATGGCTTAGCGGAGAATTTCGCCTCAAATTATTATTTAACATTTCACGATATTGTAACCAAAATAAAGAAGCAAAAAGCTATAAATCACCGCATGGTGTGGCTTTGACTCGAAATGATAGCTTTCTTTGTTGTTTTCAGTACAAGACGGACCTAGCATATTCTGAACGATGAACAAGCCAGACACAACACTGAAGAAAACGACTTCATAAGTCAAGACCGCAAGTCTTCTTCAAGCTCCTGGTTTCAAGACTTTGTGTAAATACGCCCTTTGATGATTTTTTGCCATTGAGCACCTCAGACCGCTTTTGTACAGCAAGGACATTTATTACTGTTCACTGTAAAATAGAAAACGATGTGGATTTAAGCATAAGTAGGTGAAACAAGTTCTTATAGAAAGCTTATACCTTCCTGTGTGGCTTTTCATTCAATTATACCAAAAAGCGCAGATTTGGCGATCATCATGTCCCGACTCTACATTGATATAGCATTATGCTTGATTAAACTCGTAATAACAGCATTTGACGTCTTCACTTTACCATTGTATGCAGTTTTGCAGAGGCCTTGGAAATACTGGAAAAATAAGGGGCTGCGCTTTGGGATTCAACTAGATCCGGGCAACCCGGGATCTCCGTGTGTCAAAGCGGAGACGAGCAGAGTGGACAGACTTTTAGATATCAGGACAATGGATGAGCTGATGAGAGCGGCCTTCAACAAGTTCAGCGACCGACCGTGCTTGGGTACACGTCCTGTCCTAGCAGAAAGCGAAGAAATGAAGGACGGAAAAGTTTTGAAAAAGTTGTCCCTTGGTGACTACGAATGGATAACGTTCAGTAATGTGGACTGCAAGGTGAACCTGATTTGTCGAGGTCTGATGGCTGTCGGTATAAGGCCGCGTAAATACTTGGCCGTCCTTGCCGAAACCAGACAAGAGTGGATTCTCACTGCGATGGCTTGTTTTCGCCTCAACGTACCATTGGTGACGCTGTATGCAACATTGGGTGAAGACGGTATCATTCGAGCTCTCCAGGACACTGAAGTAAGTCACCTCGTGACTTCTTATGACCTAATGCCAAAGATTGCTAGCATCGTACCCAAGACACCTTCACTAACGCATGTCATATATATGGAAAGTCCAACGCCAAAGAAACTGGTGGTAGAACCTGATAGGGTAAAGATCATTCCATTTTCTGAGCTAGAAAAACTCGGCAAAACGTCAAAAACGCCTTCAAATGGAGTGGCACCCACGGCAGATGACATTGCAATTATTATGTACACAAGTGGTGCCACCGGCATTCCCAAGGGTGTGATGGTTACCCATAAAAACATAGTTTCTACCGTAAAGGGTCTCAGTGTCAATTGCCAAGAGCAAGGCGGTAGTAACAATGATGCGTACATTGCCTACCTACCTCTCGCTCACATCATGGAGCTCTTAACCGAGTGTCTCTCTATTGGGCTGGGAGCCAAAGTAGGTTTCTCCTCTCCCCTAACCCTAACCGATAAATCAACTGGATTGCAGCCCGGAATTCCAGGGGACGCAACCTTACTTCAACCTACCGTCGTTGTGTGCCCACCACTCATTCTTGACCGCATTCGCAAAAGCATAACAGAAATAGCGGCGTCCAAGGGACCCTTCTTCGCCCGCGTGTTTGAGTACGCTGTTGCATACAAATGCTTCTGGTTGCGGCTCGGTTTCAATACGCCGATTCTCAATAGATTGGTGTTCAACAAAATGCGCGCTTTGCTGGGAGGACGATTCACGATGGTGGGCACTGGATCTGCTCCACTTGCTGTGGATACAGACGCGTTCATCAGGGCGTGCCTCGATTGCTGTCCTGTGGGAGGCTATGGTCTTACGGAGACTGCTGGTTCTGCCACACTCAAGGACATGGACGATCAGAGTTTCGGGCGAGTCGGGTCGCCGATTCTCGGTAGCTACGTCAAATTGGTCAACTGGGACGAAGGCGACTATCGCGTCTCCGACAAACCACATCCTAGGGGCGAGATAGTAGTTGGCGGAGATTGCGTGACGCAAGGATATTTTAAAAATGAGACTCTTACCAAGGAGTATTTCAAGAAAGAGGACGGCATGCAATGGTTCTACACCGGAGACATCGGGGAATTGTACCCTGACGGCACCTTCAGTATCATCGACCGTAAAAAGGACCTGCTGAAGCTTCAGCACGGAGAATATGTATCTCTGGGAAAAGTTGAGACAGAGCTTAAGACATGCCGGTTGGTGGACAACATATGCGTTCACGGTAATTCTTACGAATCGTATCTAGTTGCTCTTGTGGCACCTAACCCAGTCCAATTAAACAAACTGGCTTTGCAGGAAAAAAAGAACGACTTGAGTTTTAACGAACTTTGCAGAGATAAATTGATTACTAAACTTGTTGGTGACGCTATTACTGAGCACGGACGTCGGGCTCATCTGCACAAAACAGAAATACCTGCTAAAGTTAAACTGTGTGCTGAGGACTGGCAGCCGGACACTGGTCTCGTGACGGCGGCCTACAAGATTCGAAGGCGAGAAATCGAAAAATTCTATCGCAATGAAATCAACGAGATGTATGGGATGAACAAGTTTCCTTAAAGAAAGTGACGAGCTAGGTATCAGCCAGTTTGTATATATTTATAGAAAGGTTCGAACACGATCAAGTGGTGTGACAATAATCTCCCGTACTTAAGACTTTCGGAATTTTGTGTGCGTGTATTGAAATATGTAAAGCTCAATCAATCTATACGTCAATGAGAAAAATGTTAATAATCAAACAAACCAACTGCCGCAAAGTCTTAAATTGTGTCGATCATAAAAATGTTTTTGCTTTAACAAGATTTTCTTATGAATACGCTGGTTGTTTTTTCCTTTAATGTTTTTGGTAAAACTGTGATCAATGTGCTGATCCTTAAGCTTCGTTTCCACTGTTTTATATTTGTTTATTTTCAAAGTCCTTTGTTTCACTGCTGTCATATTTATTTGGCCTCATTGAACGTGCGTTCCAGAAAATACTGATAGTCATTTTTGGAGACTCCTGTGGCTAGAGCACCTACGTGTATATCAGGGCCGTTCAATTGAGTTTCGGTTTTTGTAAATAATAAAGCAACCACAAACATTGTGATATCAACGGTCTTTATTTCTTTACTGGTGCTAGTAGTTAAGAATGAACTTTAAGAGAAAACAATAAGTAGGAAATATTTGTGAATGTACGCAAAAAAGTAAGTAAACCACGAGTTCTTTATTTCAGGAAGGACAAATATTCTTCGAAATCAATGAATTTTGCTGATGTGTGTTTACTGCGAGGTTAACGTACCTTAAGGTAAGGCACTTCCTCCTCCGGAAAGACGGCACTTCATAACTCCAAATTTAGCTAATGGCCGATGATGTGTAATCTCGTAAAACATACTTTAATGATTTAATTGTTACTTTATAAATTGCTTTCACGCTATTTTCTACGATACTCCTCAATAAGTAAATAAACAAAATGTAATTTTTTCACAAATTCTATTGCAATCCTATATTAAATATCCTCCGTCGCAACTTTATTGTTGTCAATCTAAAATGAGGGATGAAGGCGTTATATTTTAGAAGAACTGTTTGTGTAAAAAAAAAAAAAAACACTCGCTGCCCTCAGCCGTGCCTCGTTCGCGTGCTCACGAGACTGAGAGAAAGCTTCTGCGCTTTATTCAAAAAGAATCGACGCAGCAGCACAAGTGTGGGTGGAGCCTTTTGTTGCAGTGGCTCTCGTGCACATCAGAGCTTCACCAAATGCCATACGCTCGAGCTCATGTCGTTCCTCCAACTGTGTTGACCTTCTCTAATAAAATACTAGGGGTGTGCGAATATTGAACTTTTCAAATACGAATCGAATATCGAATATATGTCTTGTAATAAAAAATTTCAAAACAAGAGGTAAAAGCAGCTTTTATTGACTTTTTAAAGTAAATCAGTGCAACTGTATTTTACTCGGTTGCAGCAGGCTAAAGATACTTCTAGTAATGCACTCATTACCATTTATGCTGTAGGAAAATTAATTGTTTAACGTGTTCAGAAAGTAAGCGCTCGCTGAGCGCCGTGACAACATTTCCGCCAGTAGAATGACCCTTTTACTCGGGAACCGTAAGAAATTTCGCTAAAGTTCGAAGAAGTTCAACTTATGAACAGTGTTGCCCGGCTGCTGCACGAATATTTCGAAGTTGGGGAAACAAATAATTTAGAAAGTAATTTATTTTATATTTATGAAATGGTTACCAATGTTTTCGCCATATAAAAGCGAAAATGCACGATTTTAACGCTTTCACTAGTTATTAATGTGAACCAGTGATGCAGATAAACCCAACAAATATTGCACTTTTCCTCCGCCAAATGGAGTCAACTAATTTTTTTTTTTTTTTTTGCGCATGCTCACAAAAGTCGAACTTCAGTCGAACCTTTGTCGAACATCCCTTTCAAAGTTTGAAAGAGTCGAACTTGTTCGACCTCGAACCTGTGCAGGTTCGCGACATCCCTAATTTTGACTGCGCGGGAGTGGCAGGAGTTTTTGTCGATGGCGATGCAACGTCCTGCTCGCTCCTAGCTTTTCCTTCTTTTTTGAATTTTCAAACATCTATATTAGATAACACACTGGAGATTTATTTTATATTTATATTTCACTATCGATGTTTATTTTATTGTATCAATTTATAGATCGCGCAATTACTCCACATATTTCTATAAAAGTGTCACACAACAAAGGGCTTGGTGAAAAAGAAACCGAAACTGATGCTGTCTTGCTGCCATCGGACAGACAGAAACGGAGCAGATTGATAACACACGCATCATACGCCCCTCTCAGTGAATAAACATATTCATAGGGGAATGCGTGGCAGGCAGATTATTCGTTGCTTGCTCGAGTATTTGCAGTTTGCGCTGAATATTCGGGTACTTCTGAATATGAAATTTTCGATTCGAATACGTTTTGAATAAGGAAAATATTCAATTCGAATTCGAAATTTCGAATATTCGCACACTCCTACAAAATACCATTCACAGAAAGAAAAAAAAAGACAGCGTGCAGTGCTGGGAATTGAGTATGCAATAACTGAGATCTAGTATAACAAAGCGTTATGTACTACCCGCGGTGTAAAATATTGCAATGCAATCCACTTTAATGATAATGAGCAAACCCGAAATTCCAATCGTTATAACCGATTATCGTTGTATCTGGACTAGAAATTGATCGTTGCTAGTCTAGATACTCTATAAACTGATCGTTATAAGCGGTATATTCGTTATATGGGGTATCGTTATAAGTGGATTGCATTGTAGCTGGGTTTGGACACCGCGCACGTCACAGATGAAAGATAAAGCCCCTTTCCTTGCTTTGGTTGCAAGTGGCGCCACCAGATGGCTCCTTGATGTGCTGCTAACAACAGCCTGTCGCGTGCCTTTGTTTCCCATGCTTCTCTATGCAGAGCGCAAGTTAATATTAATAATAATAAAAACTTTTTTCCAGCTAATGATGGGGGGCCCAAAAAAAAATGCTGCAGTATGCAGCTTGACTGGTCCTCGGGCCCCTTACACTAGTCAGCAGCAAGCATACGGAGAAATACAAAAAAAGGCAAATTATACAGTGAAACCGTTGGACATCTACAGTTGACATTTGTACAAACCAAGGTTCAACCAAGTGCAAAACATAGAATGAAAATAAAAATCATGTACAAAATTATAGGCGCACGTCCTTGAAAGTTAGTTTACAAAATTAATATTGTCAGTTCAAAGACTATTTGTAAATGTGGGATTGTGAAATTTAGCATTTGATAGAGTTTGTTAGTTGCTTGACCATCCTACATTTCTCTGTGTTCCGGGTAGATTAACCTGGGGAAATCTCCCTTAACGACGCAAATCTTTCCAGAAAACACGAGCCTTTTTTTTCACTTTTAAAACTGCCACTGAGTCTGCACCGATTTAATTTATAAATGTTAATTATTTTACAAATCTTCAATAAATCGGCAGAATAAAAGTCATTTACATATTTCTCTCAATATATTTTCTGCAGCACACACAGTTTTTTATATCAGTCACTCTGGATGTGCCCCAAACGTTAAATCACACGTTAACGATTTAAAAACACGTTAAATCGGAATATTATAGTGTTCTATAGAGCAACAATTTAACGCTCGTTGGTAAAGAAGATCGGTACCAATTTACGATTCCAACTACCCCTCGAAGCTTTGGAGCAATATAGTTTATATGATTATCCCAGCTCGTTGTCTCACTAAAAACACTCCAAAAGTTTTGAAACAACTAAAAATTTTGGTGGAAGACGTATCAAAGCGGAGAACCTTCAATATACCCAGAGACTTAGTTTTTGGTCGAAAAATGACTACTTTCGTCTTGTTACTATCAATTTTCAGTGAGTTGCTATCCCCCCCCCCCAGCCTTTTATATTTAAAAGAGGAAAGTTCTTCATATTAATTAATTCGTCACAAGTTTCGGCAGAAAAATATATGACAATATCATCTGCATAAATTACTAATTTCGTCTTAGTATTTACGTTGATTATATCATTAATGTAAAAATTAAAGAGAAATGGTCCCCATATGCTTCATTGTGGAACGCCTGACGTAATAGATTTTAGAGTGGACGAATGACTGTAAAATCAGTAGGGCATGTCCACGACTGCCATAAACTTCAAGCTTTTTGAATAATACCTTGTGATCAAGACAGCCAAGGGCTTTTGTAAAATGTATGAACACCCCTAGAACTAATTTTTTTGACTTTCAAAATTTTCTAAAATAATTTCTTTTTGATAAAGTAGAGCTCCCCCTGTTGGACAGTTTTTTTTTTTTTTTGATACCCCATTGCGAGGAAGTTGTGAGGATACATTTATTCGAGAAGTCCACTAAACGATGATAGAGTAACTTTTCCAAAACCTTCGAAAATACGGGCAACCTAGAAATAGGTCTATGGTTAATTAACTCATTTTTATCTCCTTTTTTATACTGTACAGACACCTTTGCTACTTGCAGTCTTGTGGGAAACACACAATATTCAACAGAAAGATTAAAAATATTAGTTAACACGCGACCAATTATATCGGCAACATACTTAATGGAGTGAATTTGCATTCCATCAGCGTCACAGGTACCGCTATCTGGAGGTGCATTACCACATTTTTAATTTCTGGACTAGCAAATGGCTCTAAAGTTATAGATCTACAGTTTCTCTGACAAATATATTTACAAGTCAATCGTATCGGCAATAAGATATATATATATATATATTTACAAAATATTCAATACACATAATTGTTAAATTTCGACCGGTTAAACTTACACCCTTATACTGCAATGTCTCAACGGTGTTTGATACAGCAAACCACTTAACCAACGAACCAAGCTGTTTTGATATTACGTCAGTGCGACCATTTCCCGACGAGAAAAGGGAAGAATAATAACGTTTTTCTGGCATTCCTTGGCTCCGTGGTTAAGCTGTTCCAATAAGATTTAAATTCCTTAAGAGCATCCGGGTTGCGTGTCGTAACGAACCGTTTATAGAGTATACCTTTCTTACGAATTTTGTGATAAACATTGACGTTACCCACGGTTTACGAACCTTTTTTATATATTTACGGATTTATAGGAAACGTGATTTTTATAGAGCTTGAGAAATTGTTCTAAAAATAAGTTATAGGCACAACAATCAGTTTCTTGCATAACCACCCTATTGCAATGTACAGCTGTAATGTCCCGTCTAAAAGCATCAAGGCTATTTTCATCAATATTTTGGAAAATCGCAAGTTACCATGTCATTAGCTTTCGAGATACATTAAGCTCGACACAAAAGAAAATTGGAAGATGGTCACTCAATTCACAACTTATTGCTCCACTGTTCACTCAATCTGTGTGAAAATTAGTTATAAACAAATCTAAAATGGTTTTAGACTGTAAGGTAATTCTAGTAGGATTGAGTATCGAGTTGACACATTTGTACATGCTAACTACGTTCTCCATTTTCATTTTATAAACACTGTAAGAAGACATATCAATATTAAAATCCCCCCCACAAATCACGTTATATTGACTTCCATTAGTGAACACCCAAGCGACACAAGAAATGCAAAAAAAGGATGACATG